ACATGTTCAGAATAACAGCAAAGCACAAATATAGTCGCAGCTCGAACATGCATGCGACGCATGCGACTCATACCAACCGCGATAACTTGACCATCGGTAGTACCAAGACTCGTCCTGAGCGTACTGGTATCATCAACCATGGCCCACGGCCACGGCACAGGTCGCCATAGAGACATGTCGAAACCGAACTTGACCTATTACTTTTAGCAATAGGCGACGATGACAATTAGCAGACCAAAACAAGCCGCAACAACGCACCAACAAGTCGCAACAACATGCCAATAGCAACGGTAGAGCAAACGGCAACGGTCAAATCTGTAACAACAGAAACGTAACACAACTAGTAGTAGGATCAGCAACTGTAGTCAATATCAACGGAGATAGTAGCAGCAAAACGACTGATTGCGCAAGTTTGGCACAGGACTGTAGCCGGAGCCATGGCTTTTTGACTCAACCGCCTCCTCCTTTATGAGGTTCGAGGCGATGGGGGCGGCGCAGACCGCGAGAAACGCAACAAGAGTAGCAGCATCAACGATTCGACAATTGCGAACGATAGTACTTTCAGTATTTTAACACTCATCATCATCATCATCATCATTACCAACATCATCAATAACGACAACATTATCACCACCATCATCATGCTCTTGTAATGGCAATATTCATACATGACTGACAGAAACCCGTAATGTCACGGAGCGTAGACCCCCAGAAGAGCACGGCTTACCAGCAAACGTTACCATAGGAATCATGATCGTAATACTCAGAGGGATGAGCAAGAATCCACTCACCCTAAACCCCAAACCCTAAACCCTAAACCCTAAAACCTAAACCCTAAACCCCTAAACCCCAAGAGCCCGACCGAAAGTTTCAGCATTCTTGGCATCTGCTCCAGACCTGGCAGGCGCAGAGGGAAAACCCCTCTGGCAACGCAGGGTTGAAGGGCTCCGAGTTGACCATTGGCTTCTTAGGGTTTTTTTGTTTTTAAGGCCCGGCTTCTTAGGGTTTAGGGTTTAGGGTTTAGGATTCTTGTTGGTTCAGATGGCCTCAGACTTATGTTTGTGGCATGCATCGGCGGACTATTCTCGACCTCCGAGGTCACGTGCCGGGCACAAGTTTTTGCACGCAGTGTGCAGGACGAAAGTGCTAAACAGATCGCAAAAGCAACACGTGGTGTTTTGGCAGTAACAGAACTGTTCGATGTTGGTGACGATCTTTCTGCGCAATGGTCTGTCGTACTTCGCCGGTGTTGATTGAAAAAACACTAAGGGACATCAAGACTTCGAGACACGGTGGCACACGGACAAAGAGACACGGGAGTACGGCAACAACGGCATACCTGTAGCGAGTGAGCGAACGTGCAGAGGCTTCACCCTGCAGGCGCTCTGATGAGCTCTCCAGCGACGGCATTACCCTGCACACGCTCACTTTCCAAAGCGAATTAGAATACGAATAATACTAGTTTCCTATCTGGGCAGTACGTTGAGGTCTGCGTTGTTGGTTGCCTGTTGAAGCACGGCACTCCTCCGGGATGCGAGATACACGAGAACACAATATGAATTTGGCATTCTTCGTGCTTTACGGTGTTTGGCAACCGACACTAGCCCCATGCCTACGCGAAGCACAGGCGAACATCTTGAGGCAACATCGTCAGCCTACTCAGCAACCATCAACGTCACCAGAAAGAAATTTAGCGACATTAGTGCTGTGTAGCTGGTGGCCTCCTCAGGAAGACAGAATGTGCCCAACCCTGGAATCCCTAAACCCTAAACCCTAAACCCTAAACCCTAAACCCTGTGCCCAACGCTGGAATCCCCGTTCTTGCAGATGTCAACCGAGCCGGCAAAGCTCCCGGGAGAGCCGAGTCTCAAGCTGCGCAAGCCTGGGAAGATCTTCGAACACCGCCATTCGCAGATACATGAAAAAACATATGGGTAGTTGTCAAAATTATGGTCCCTTTGGGGGTACCCTAAATAATCGGTGCCGTATTTTAATAAGGACCCAAAAAGGGACCATAATTTTGACAACCACCCATATGTGTGCAAAGAGAGAGCGAAAGAGAGAAAGAGGAACACTGACATCAGCCCAGCGGGCCCCTAGCCGCCAAACCCAAGCCAGCCGGGGGCCCTAATTTTCTGTAACATTGACTAATCTGAACTCGGAAAAGAGCCTGGCTGAGACGGGCAGGTCGCGGGCTATCATGAATTCAATATGGCGACGATGATGATGATGATGATTTCCCTGCTCAGGATGGTCATTTCTATGGCTTCGGAAGTCCCACAACCCCTCTCTGGCGCTGTTTAACGTGCACAGGCTCCCCCTACACCCACCTTCAGCCTAGGACCCCAATGGCACGCAGCTGACCGCTGTATCGCTGTAATATAGAGGCCCAAATAATTAGAATAGGCTTCTGGGCTGCTTTATGGTATGGTATGGTATGGTATG